ACTCATCGATACGTATCAAATGAAGCAGGGCAGATTACCATATTATTTTTCTTAGGATGTCGGAATATAACAACATGTTAAAATACCAAAAAGGTGCAATATCCTTGTTTATAACACAGCCTTTGTTCCGAGTCTGTGCCTTTGGATGGATCTCATGTGCTTAAAAAAATGCACTAAGTATCCATTTGAATTATTACTTATGCCAACATGAATGGTAGAAGAATAATCAATTGTAATTTGTTGTCAAGTCTAGATGTGTTTTCTCCACTGTCAATGACTGATTTCTTCTTGCTGAGCAATGCTTTGCAACCTATTAATTTCTATGCCAGTGGTGGCTCAAATATTGCTGTTATAGTTATGCAATGTGTAATCTTATATTGTTTAAATAAAGTTAGGCAAATTCAACTGAAATCATGACTGTAATATTTGAAATATGTCATCTGATTGACCTTCATCATACCAACATATAGCCTGGGCAAGGATTATGTCAAAAATGGCAAGGCAAGAGGAAAATAGAACAAGCCAGATTGTATTGCCACTCCTTTAGTCAGAGAATGAGGACAAGTTATAAGCAAAAAGCACAGATCACCTTGAAATCTTGAAATCAATGTCAAAGCCTACCTACCTGACAACTTGTATGGTCTCCCTCTTTTTAAAGTAATGCAATGCATTAGGTAGGTACATTGCTAGGTGTGAAATTTATGGAGAACTTCACAAACCCCATTACAAATCAGTTTTATAAGCATATGCTTCAAATTGCTATGCTTCCCACACTAACTGAAAGGTTTTTGAGCAAACTCATGAGCAAACTCCATGCCAGCATATCTTGTTATTGAGTAAACATGTTGACTACTTAACTGACCATTCCTTTTTCTATAATCATAGTAATTACAATTCTACACAGACCTGTAGGCAATTCATGACACATTTTCCACCCACAAAATTATTATATACACAACTGAACACAAAGCCTATGTTTAAAATAATCACATCTGTTGCATTTTTGCTGTATAGGTACCTGTCTATAAAAAAACATGAATAATTTGATGTTGTGAGCCTTGTGCCCAGATGAATGTTTGTGGTATTGGTGTTACAACAAGGAAATTGAAAATTTGTCATGCAGTTTAGGGAAGTTATACCTAGGTAATGTTCAAAATGTAGTGAGATGCCTTCAATTACTAAATCTCCAGTACATTGAAGAGCCATATATTCTTTTGAAGGAAATTATTAGGTACCTATTTACATTAGAGCTAGGTAGGTAGTTACCTGCGTGTTAGCATCTTTCAATGTTGTTCTTTATCAATCAGAATGAATGGAAAATTAAAAAATAAGTAGAAGTGATCAGATAGGATAGGTAAAGCAATTTCACAATTCAGTTGACTTTCAGTTTCAGTTCTCATCAAGCCAATTAGGTTGGGTACCTACCTACTTACCAGCACCTCCATAATCGCTCCCCAAAATGCCCCCTGCCACGAACCTCTTATGAAGAGTTTATAGAAGTGCAGGCTGCAGATTTCCGGCCCATGCAGAGTTTTCAGTTCTTTGGCAATTCCTTAACTCCACTTGGAGCTCACAACCTTCTATTACCACACCATCACATCACAAAATATAATGTGAAAGTCCTTATACACTTTGCTTACACTGCACAAGACACACATCCACAGCACAGTACAGCAACGGAAGCGAGCTGTTCACTGTTACAATTATCTTTCAAATTCAACTGACACCAATAGCTGGTTACCACGCAACGCGCTAGCAAATGGCGTCAGCTTGTCCCACGAATGGCGGTTGCTATGGAAACCAGCTGACGAAACTTTACCAGAACCCATTTTCGAACAGGAGTTTTGTTAAGGCGCCCCAAGAATTTGTGCGCCGTTTTTCGAAACATGCCCACCACTTTCGCAGTTTTTCATCCTACATTTTACCTACACGGTGTCTCATGAGACACAATGTTAATCCAATGGGAACTGTCTCGTGGGTGTCTCATGGAGGAGATTTGTAGGAACTGTTTTTGAAGACACGTAAAGAAATGTAATGACCAAATGCCGTTGACAGCTGATTGTACCGACCAATTGCTACCAGTTAGCTGTTTTTATAGTCATTTTGTACAGAAAACACAAACTGAAATCTGTCTCGCGGCTACCCTCTTCGGCTCTTTCCTGTCTCCTACATTGTAGGTAGAGATTGCAATCCCGGGATCGGGATCCCGGAATCCCGGCGGGATTTTAATCCCGATCCCGATCCCGAAATTCCGCCAATCCCGGGATCCCAAAAAATCAGTTTTTTTCACCATAAAAAGAATGCAGCCGCTGCACGAGTCTTGTTTACACTGTTCATGGTTTAGTGACATAAAGCAGAGAAACTATTTAGCTGGCACCCCGTACCGGCCGTCCACAATTGACCGTGTTGGTAGCTCCCGGGTATCACCCACAGCGGATAAGCCGCTTAAATGTGTACGAAAAAGGGTCCCGAACGTCAAAAAATTGCAGCATCAGTGCAGCAACATATCTATCAGGATCACGGATCGTGGAGTTAAGCGATTCTGACTCTTCCGTCCGTGGCCGGAACAAAAGAGGTCATCAAGACAGTGTTTGAGCTCGTGTCGCAGAAAGATGCCACAGATGTCACGCAAGTGACGGCAGAGCTCACTGATTCAAACGTTGAAGACGGTAGAGTGGAGCTCTCCCAGTCAGTGACTCTGCCCTCAAAGCGACTTTGGAGCAAAATCTGAGAGACATTAGTGATGAAAGCGGAACCGGAAGGTGAAGTGACCAATCGACGTCTTGAAAACATTGTGAAATAGGGAGCTGCCAAATTTTGCGTACACTGGTCGCGAGTTTTAAAATAGACAGACCTACCAGCAATGGCTTAAAACTGTCGCGTTCATACGAGTAGCGTAGACGAAGAGTGAGTGAGGCGTGGATGTGCTGGAACCCGTCTGAATGACGAGATAGTAAACGCACTGGTCGGCGCACAGTTTTATTAAGGCCAATTGGAGAAATACTAATCAAATCGAAACGTTTCTTTCGCAAATTCAATCGTGTTTATTGCAAATGACATGGTCTAAGGATGGCTTTTGGTTGCCTCTTTGTTTGTGGTAAGCTAAAAGACGCAAAATATGTCAGTAGGAAATTATTCTTACGACCTATAGTGACAAGACCGGGATCCCGGGATCCCGGGATCCCGAAAGAAAAACTTTCGGGATCCCGGGATTGTCAAAACGTTCCGGGATTGCAATCTCTAATTGTAGGCAAGTAGGAAGGTTTGTGCACCTCGGGGTACCATTACAACCTCACTAAATGTAAATTCTATCTCATTTTGGATTAGGGCTTGTATATTTGAGGCGCATGGCGCGCATCAGCGCACCAGAACCGTCGAAATTTGGAAGCAAATAGGATATGGAAGCCAATGAAGGAAAAACTTCCGAACGAAGGCGCGTCTATATCATAACATGCAGTAGTCCAAATGGCAAATGCACTTGTTTCCACAGATTACCTATTGTTGGCTGTGACTATCACCATGATTTGGGGCCCTGGGCCTGCTGCGACTTTTGACAATAGGACTTGTTTAAAAATATTTCCCTTTCCTTCTATCATGCAATAAAACAATGCAAAGTTAAACAATTAACATTTAACAAAGTATATTATCAAATCAACTCTAGGAAGTGGCAGAGCATTGGGCAAGTTCGAGCACATAGTCGCTAGGCAACTCCACATGCTATGAAAGCACAACGTTGTGTAGCACTCAGTAGTGCCCTTTACCCGTAATGGCCTGAGATCTCTAGATTAAACAATAGACACGATAGCCGGCATAAGACATATCTAACAGTTATCAGGTACGAAATCATTTAAAATCACGTAAAAACCCGAGGGTAGGGTGTACAGCCGCGAAACGACTCAGAGTTCAAAATCACAGTTGTGTCACGTCGATCCGGTAGGGGAGAGTGGGGTAATTTGGCCGCTTTTTTAGAAAACGATGTAACTAAAAATCGCAACACATTTCTGCATTTTCTCAACGCTGACAGGTGTGGCATACATTTTACTTTCTTGGACAGTAAACTTGAAATGATAGAGTAACTACTTATATTGAAATTGTGACGTATTACAAAGGTCTGCAAGGCGGCCAAATTGCCCCACTAGCAGGGTTATTTGGCCGGGGGTGTGGGGCAATTTGGCCGGTGTTAGTTTGAGGCCATGATTTTTGTTATAGGCGAGTCAGCTTCACATTCAGCAATGACGCGTGTCCTACGACGCATTTGAAGCATTTTGGAGGTTGACTCAGCCGTCACAGGGGTCGAAAATAGTCTAAATAGCGGCTCTAGATGCGATGACAGTTTTTTACGAATAGCTTTTGGAGTAATCAAGGTAGGCCAAAACTAAAAGTACCATCGTAATTCTCTCGTCATTCCGCATCAAAACATGTATGTGTTGACCTCGAGAGGTCAAGGTCAAAGGTTGGCTTCAGGTCACGTTACCTCTGGTCGCTTGACCTGAAGGTTACGTGAGTTCAAGGTCATCATGTATATCATTCGATGCGCCTTGACGAGCGGAACACAATAATACCATTTGCGCGGCTGTATCTTTTTTCTGTAAGTATTCATGAGCAAAAAAGTGTTAGGTAACCTTTGATGACGTCACATGCCCTTACAGCTGTCCAATAGGAAATATGGCATCAAGGTAGTCAAAGTTGGTCATGAATTATGTCCTTTATGGTATAATTGACCATGACAACTCGGCCGTCCCAGCATAGTAACTCTGAGCGCACCGGCCAAGTTGCCCCGCTAGTCCCGGCCAAATAACCCCACATTGCCATTCTGAAATTTTTTGTCTATAAAGTCGACATGGCTGTACAAAACTAGATGAATTTGCTCTTGGAACCGCTGAACACCCTCAAAAATGGCGCTATAATGTTGGAATTCGCTTACAGCCCAAATACTACATGTTATACAAATTTTTAAACGGAAGTAAAAGTTACCATTTTCTAACGAAATTCACCTTTTATTAATTTTGAACAAAACTAAGAGAGGGAAAGTTTTGACATTTGTTCTCAAGTTAGTTCTGCCGACGACAAATGAATAGGGACTAAAGTTATTTCATTCACTTTTATCAGCTTTCGTACAGGTGGGGGCGGCCAATTTACACCACCGGCCAAATTACCCCACTCTCCCCTACTCTACAACGTTGAAACTGGGTCTGCACTCTGCTCTGCTTCCAGCAGCGGCTCAGGTCTGGCTCTGTCGGGCGGGGAAAGAGAAAGTTATTCACATGCATCAATGTAAAGCCATGGCCTTGTTCCACGTTCGCTGCCAGCACGCGAGTCAAAATGGGTTTCCATGGAGTCATCAACAAACTCATATATCCAGCATTACTCGCGAAATGCACTGGCAGCGTGCTGCTATCGGCCGTGAAACAGGGCCCATGTGTCAGAAACGTCCTATGCTGAAGCATCCTCGTCACGGCCTTCAGCACGTCACACATATCATTTCTAACAGAGTAGGATACCACTAACTACCAAGTTATGATAACTCACAGCGGCCACACACAGTGACTGGTAAAAAACTGCTTTCAGACTAAGAGCTATCACCCTCAAACCTACCTCACGTCTCACGTCGGTGCACACTGCACACCATGGAGGAAGAGGATATCATCCACGGATGACGGTAGCAGCCTCGTCCTCCTGTCCTCCACCACGCGTCCGGCGACAGAGAAGGCTCTCTCTGACGGTGTGCTAGACGCTGGCACTGCAAAGCCGGGCTTTTGTCACAATGTTGAATAAACCAGCATTTGTTACAAGATAACTTGATGCTTATAATCACTTTCAGTAGCTTATGCTAGAAACCACCGAAGCACTCAGACCGCAGGATCCCATTGCCACGGCACCAGCACTTAAAAAGCCACGGTCAATAGCACAGTGCACACAATACACATCAAATGATGAAAAGTGGAAACGCAGACTAACTACAAACATTACTGAGTCCGTTCCATAACTACCTACCAGCCAGGAGACGCCTTGCGACGCGGCACAGCCGCGGGAACTGGGCTTTCGTGGTCGGTGACGCCCAGTACGCCAGGATGGTGGTGAGGTGGCTGAGTGCGGTCCTGGCTCGCGGAGGTAGCTCTCGACCTCCGTCCGAGCCGACCGGTCGCCTGACGTCACATCATGACTGGCAGACTGCGGCTCGGCGAAGCAGAAGAAGCAGTGCTGCAGAACGGTAACGGCAGCGACCGTCAGTGGGTATAATGCGCATGGGGCCGTGCATTCACGTAAGAGCTACGGTAACTGGTTTAAGGCATAAGGCCACAAGCCGCATGGGGCACACAACGTGAAACACGCAACAGCCAATAAGTGCATAATGCTATTTCAAACCCATTATTTTCCCTACAAAGTACAGCATTCAATCATGTGTTCATTTGAACTACAAAGTTTAGTTTCAAGTACGAGAATTAAGCGGAAATCAACCTGTGCACTTACTGCCGAGCTGGTGCTGGCCTGGGTGCGGTTGGACGTCGATGGCTCGAGCACAGGCTGAGGCTCGTCCTCATCAGACGAGATTGTCGCACACGCTGGCTCCGCCTCCTGATCCGCTGCTGCGGCTGTGAGGTCCTTCCTTCCTTCCTTGCCAGCTTAGGCCGGGTCCCGCGGGGCCCGGCCCGTCTCCACCAGGAAGTCTGCGATGAGGTCAGCTTCGGTGGAGAATATCTCCCCCAGCGTCGGCAGGGGGCCCCACCGGCGGGTCCGAGGCCCCTGGTGTGCGGGGCAGTCCATCAGCAGGTGCGGGACCGAGTCCGGCTCGCCGCAGTCGACGCACGCGTCGGACTCGGCCAGTCCGAGTCGGTGCCGGGTGTCTCCTGTCAGGGGCGAACATCCCACCCGGAGCTGCGCCACGGTCACCGACGCTCGGCAGTCCAGTCTGTCGTGCCCGGGCGTCGGGTCGGGGTGCGGGTGGCTGCGTCGTCGCATCACACATCGCCCGCGCCCGGCGGGCCACCGCGGCTCTCGCCGACCACAGGTCCACGGGGATCTGGTCCTGTCTGCGCGAGCTCCCGATCGCTGCCAGACGGTCCGCCTCCTCGTTCTCCGGCAGGCCCGCGTGGCCGGGCACCCACTGCAAGTGGAGCCTGTGGCGTGAACGAGTGATGGTGTCTAGCAGGTTCCTGATCTCCGCTACCAGAGCCGACTGGGAGTCCGCCGTGTCTTGTAGCGACTGGATGGCTGCGCGCGAGTCGCAGCAGAGGAGGAGCATACTCGGCCGGTCAGGCAGGTCGCCCGCGGCCTCGGCCAGCGCCTCGCGGATGGCCACGAGTTCGGCCCGGGTGCTGCTGCACACCTTCCCGGCCGCTACCGTTAGCTGTACGGTGCGGGACTCCTGGTGGAAGATCAGCAGGGCTCCCCCTCCGCCGTCGTGCGTGCCGCCCCCAGCCGAACCGTCGGTCCAGATGGACACGTCGGGCTGCGGGAGAGACGCCAGCGTCGTCTCCGCTGCAGCTCTTCTCGCTTCCGGTGGGTCTGTGCGCGAGGTAGGCACCGTCAGAGAGGTCGATGTAGTCAGGCTTGTGGTGTCCGGTAGGACAGGCGGTGTCAGGGCCAGCGGCTCCGCTGGGAGCTCCGCTATGCCCGCCTCGCTCGCCATCCAGGCAGCAACTCGCCGCACGCAGGGTTTTGCATCCAGCACGACGTCCTCATCGCACGGCAGGGGAGGGCCGGAGTTTGTGCCGGCTTGCTGTACCTCTCGAATCCAGGCTTCATGGGCTCTGTACTTCAGTCTCGGTGGGACCTCCCGATCAATCACCTCCTTTGCCGGGTCGTCGGGAGGGAGCCTCTTCAGTCTCTGGGCTTCGTTCGAGGAGAGTTTCTTGGCTCGTACCGTGAGGGGTTCCAGCTGTGCCTCGGCGAGCAGTGCGTCTCGTCTGGTCGGGCGGATGCAGCCCGTGATGATACGGGCGCATGCGTTTTGCTCCGCTTCCAGGGCCTGTCTAGAGGCCGGGGCGGCATGTGTCATGTAGACTGCCGAACCGTAGTCCGCCAGAGACCTGATATATCCTATATAGGCTGCTCGGAGTGTGCGGCGGTTGCAGCCGTAGCTGCGTCCGGCGAGGGCGGCTAGGCAGTTTCTGCGTCTGGCCATCGACTTCTTCAGTTGCTTGATGTGCTCACTGAAGGTGAGGCCGGCCGCCGTCCATCTTGAGTCCCAGAAAGGTTGGGTAGGTGACATGGTTGACGGGTCGGTTCTGGAGGCTCAGCTTGAGATGTACCTTTCCTCCGGCTTCGCGAGGGTCCAGAGAGAACGGGGTGGCCGAGCACTTCGATGCCGACAGCTGCACTTTCCACCGAGTACACCAGTCGGAGATTTCGTCCAGTGCTGGCTGGAGGGTCGCCTCGCACTGCGACAGCTTCCGTTCGGTGGCCCACAGGGCCACATCATCCGCGTACACAGAGATGTGTACTCCGGGTGGGGCCCGCGGGAGGATGTCGCTGGCGTAGATGTTCCAGAGCAGGGGGGCCAGTACGGAGCCCTGGGCCAGGCCCTGGGGGAACAGGCGGCTGTCCGAGATGGATGTCTCGGACAGCCGCCTGTTGGAGTCGCCGTTGGGCCAGACGCTCCGCGAGTTTCCCGATGCAGGAGAACAGGGAGACGGGCCGGTAGCTACCGGGGTCGCTGGCGGGCTTCCCCTTCTTGAGGATTGGTACGATAGTGGCTCGCCTCCAGGCTGCTGGGGTTTCGCCGGAGCGCCATGACGTGTTCAGGAGGTGGAGCAGCATCCTCTCCGCCGTCGGGCCCAGTTGTCTCAGCATCTCGTTGGACACCTCGTCCTGGCCGGGAGCGCTGCCTAGCTTCAGCTTGCCTATGGCGTTCTGTAGCTCTCTCCTGGAGAAAGGGGAGCACAGTCCTGTCTTCAGACCATTGCATTGGCAGGAGCCGGTGGCGCGTCTAGCCTCTTTGTTGATTTGTCGGTCAGCGTTTTTGTCCAGTTTGATCCGGGAGACCGCGGCGTATTCCTTGCTGAAGAGGTTCGCCTTTTGTTTGTCGGTAACGGCTGGGCCCGAGGGCGGGGTGGGGCCCCTCTGCTCTCGTTGGATGGACTCCTTAGGCTTGGGGATCCGTCTTCCGTCTAGGTTTCGAATGATTCTCCACAGGTCAGCGTCCGGTCTGAGGTTTTTCAGCGTCTCGTCCAGGTGGGCTCTCTTCTCGGCGGTGATCACTTTGTCGGCTTCGGCTCGCGCCTGCTGGTATGCCTCCATGTCGGCCCTGGTGCGGGATGGTTGCGTGGCCGTCCGGAGGGCTGCATCTCTCGCCTTCACTGCCTCTTCGCATTTATCGCTCCAGAAGGGGCCCTTCGCGCTTCTGCCGTTTCCAAACGGTATGTGTTTCCGTGCACTCGACGTGATGGCTTTCGTGATTTGTTGGTTGAGCTGGTTGATGGGGGTGTCCATGTTGATCTCGGACATCTTCTTTTCCAGGGACTCCCTGAATCCCGTCCAATCTGCTTTACGGAAGGAGAACTTCCCCCTGCCTCGGCGGGTCGGCGGCAGGTCGGCGGTCAGGGTGGTCCTGATCGGAAGGTGGTCGGACCCGAGGTTCGGCTGCGTGCTCCACTCCGCCGTCGCTCCGACATCAGCAGTGACCAGAGTGATGTCAGGAGTGGAGAGTCCGCCCGTGGCTGGGTTGACGCGGGTGTGAGAGCCGTCGTTGAGAATCAGCAAGCCAGAGTCCGTGGTCCACTCCTCGATCTGGAGGCCAAGATGTGAGGGACGCTGGTGGTGGTCCCACGAGTCGCTGTGGGCGTTTACGTCTCCCATGATGATGCTGCTGGTTGGGGGCGAAAGTCTGGTGAGCTCGAGTGACTGTTCTTGGGTTCCTTGTCCTTCCGTCCATCTGGCCGGTGGGCTGTATATGTTCACGATGTTTATGGTCCTGTCTGATGTGTGTATGGCTACGGCTCCGATGTAGGTCGAGCAGCCTCTCTCGGGTCGGTATGGTACCGGTAGTGGGTCGAAGGCGAGGTCGTTCCGGGTCAGGATCACCACGCCCCCCTTGGCCCGCTCCAGGCGCGTGCCGTCACGGTACGGGCCGAGCAGGGGCGGCGGGGGAGTGGTTCCCGTGTTGCGCTCGCGGCTCGGAGAGGCCACGCTCCTTCGCTCCGTCCCCGAGGGCTCCCCATCACGGTCGGGGGTCCACCGCCTGCTCCTGTTGGGCAGCAGAGATGGTGGCTCTGAACTGCTCGAGTCGGCGGAATGGTGGCCACAGCATCGTAGCCACGATGTGCTGCTCCCTTACTGCAAACTTCTCTTCAAAGAGTCGGGACAGCCTCTTTTTCACCGTTCGTGTGATGCTGTCGTCTCCTGCCTCCAGCTCCAGCTCTCGCCGGAGGCGCTCCTTCGTTTGGGCCACGACGTGGAGAGTCGGGTAGTTCTGACCGCTCAGCTTCTCCGTGGCGATCTCCAGTGGCGTGAGCACGGCGACCAGCCGCCTCATGATCGTCGGGTTGAGCGAGTCTATGAGCTCCACAACCTCCGGGCTGCCGAACGCAGGATGGACACTAGGGTGTCCCACCATACCAATATCCATATTTCGTTCGATCCACGTTTATTGCCGCATTCGTTAAGGTAAGAAACGACCACAATGAAAGAACTGGACGGTTTGCTCAAGATCTAGGGGTCCCACAAGTTGACATATTTCAGTAATGGGTACCCGGTACAGGTACACATTGGTGGTCACTCGGCAATAACAATATTCAAGCACAGAGTCCTTCAAACAAAGCGTTAACTAAGTCCCGACCTGTATGTAGGTCACTGTGTCACATTTGTCGCTCAGATCATCATTTCCTTTTTCGTTTTCTTTTGGATCAGCTTTCTATTCCCATGCACTGCCTTCAGCAGGAACTGCCGCTGCTCTTCTGTCGTTGTTGAACTCCTTGATCAATGCGATCGCTCGTTCTGCGTGATCATTGACGACCGCTAGATTTGACACGCGCTGCTTACCCACCTTATACGCGTCGTTTTCTTCCCACGACTGTACTGGTGTGCTCAGGAGGCTACTGTCCAAGTCCAGGGCCTCCAGCATCACTGTTGTCCGGGAGGTGACGAAATCCCACAGCCGTTTTCCCTGGAATGGCCCCGTGTTTTTCTTTTCGAGTCGCTTCAGTGCCTTTTTCTTCGCAGGCTTTCCGAGGTTGCTGACCATACACTCCT